TCCCCTTCTCCTCCCTCTCTGGCACAGTGGGAGCAGTTTGTGCCACAAAGGCGAGTCTCCTCTTCTAGTGAGTGGCAGAGGAGGGGCAGCCGGGAAAAGGGGCCTCAGGAGTAACCGAGCAGAAGGAGGGATGGGACGGGCGAGTGGTCCCCCCCCTCTCGTTGCTGGTTGCACGTGTCGCTGCCCCTCATGTGCCCATTTGGCATGGTGCTCTTGCAGGTGTTGGACGCCAGAGACTGCACCAATGCCCAGGAAATGTTCACCTCCATCTGCAGCCACATCAATTACGCCACCAATCGTGGCAACCTGCGGTGAGTGGCTCTACTCCAGACCCCCAACCCTTCAGCTTTACTTCTGGTGACAGCCACACAGCTGGGAGAATCCAGCCAGGGGTGGACGTGGGGCTTGGTGCGCTGACTCCCTGCCACGTGGCAGGGGGACTCGAGAGGGACTCAGACTCAGCCCCCCCCCCCTGTGCGTTCTCCCCTCCTGCCCCAGGTCAGCAATCACTATCTTTCCGAAGCGGATTGCCGGCCGTGGCGACTTCCGCATCTGGAACCAGCAGCTGATCCGCTACGCTGGCTACAAGCAGCCCGATGGCGCCGTGCTGGGAGACCCGGCCTCGGTGGAAGTCACGGAGGTGAGACGCGTGGCTGTCGGCCCAGGAGGGCTGGGGGCCCCAACCCTCTTCCCGCAGCTGCTTTGGGGTGGCTGCCCATAAGCCAAGCAGCCAACAAGGAAATCCGCCCGTGACCTTTCCCCTCCCCCCAGCAGGGGCCAGGTCCTCAAGGGCCGAGGACCCCCTCCCGCTGCTGGTGCCTCTCCATGGTGTCTCCTCTCCCGTTTTCTCTCCCTCCTCCTCTCCAGCTCTGCATCCAGTATGGATGGCGGCCCCCTTACGGACGCTTCGACGTGCTCCCCCTCTTGCTGCAAGCCCCCGGTGAGGACCCCGAAGTCTTTCCTCTGCCGGCCGAATTGGTCCTGGAGGTGCCCATCAGTCACCCCACGTGAGTCCAAGGCACGGGGGAAGCGGTGGGGTGAAGCCTCGGGGTTTGCACGTGCGTGTTGGGGGACGGAGTCCAAGGCGACTCCCGGCTGGGCCACCTCTGCTCTGGCTACACTGATGGGGGGGGCCTCCCTGTCCCGTCCTGTCCCGTCTGCAGGAGGCCAGGAGAAGCCCTGGTGGGCCAGGAAGAGAGTGGCCGCCTTGAGCCGCAGCTGGCCCAGGGGCAGATGAGCCACCTGGCTGAACCTGGCAGAAGCCCACTGGGAGAGGGCTTGGCGGGGGCAGCCTTCCTCCCCATGATCACGGGGGGGGGGAGTGTGTGTGTGTGAAGGCAGGCGGTGGACAGCAGGGGCAGCCTGCTTGCAGGAGCGCTTGATGGCAAGAGGGGACCCAGGTGTCCAGCTGGCCAACGGAGACCAGGTGACACGAACGTCTGGGGCTGTGCCTGACCGCTCGCTGCTCCTGGAGACTTTGGCCGGGGGGGTGACCTGATGATCTTGGGGGGTCTCTTTTTTTGACTGTGCCGTTCTATGATCCCGGGACCTGCCGGTCAGGATTTGGCCCCTGCTATGGCTGCCACCTTCACCTGATGTTTCCGAGGACTGAAGCAGGGCAGCACCTGGCAAGCACAGGAAGGGCCCTGCCCCTGATCGGGGGGGGGAGGAGGGTTCTGGAGAGTCCCCTCACCCCCCCACCACACCCCAGGGTGCCTCCTTGAGCTCTCTTCCCTGTGTGGATCCTCTGCAGGCTGAAGTGTTTCGAAGAGATGGCGCTGCGCTGGTACGCCCTCCCTGCGGTGGCCAACATGCTCCTGGAGATTGGGGGGCTGGAGTTCCCGGCCGCACCCTTCAGCGGCTGGTACGTCGGCTTCGAGATCGGCATGCGCGACTTCTGCGACTCCCAGCGCTACAACCTCTTGCAGGTAAGGTCCACCCCAAGGACCCACCCCGCCTAACCCCAAGGCGGCCGGCTCAACTCTCGTGGCACTCGAGCCACGGAGCGCAAGACGGGGCACCCAAAGGCCCACCAGGGCTTCCCTGGGACCACGCGGTGGATGCCGTCCTCGCCAGGCACAGGAGCCGACAGCAGAATCTCAGGTGGCCTTCTGGCCTGGCTACCGGGGCCACTCTTCCCCCAGCTATCCTGCCCCTCCACGACTCACGGGAGAAACAGGAAGGGGGGCTTGGTAAATGCCTTCTCCTCCCTCACCCCTGCTCTGCCCATGTCTTGCAGGAGCTAGCCGAGCGCATGGGCCTGGACACGGGCACGACCCTCTCCCTGTGGAAGGACAAGGCGGCCGTGGAGATGAACGTGGCCGTCTTGCACAGTTTCCAGGTGGAGATATGGCCCAGGGGTGGGTGGGGTGGGGGCTAGGCTGGGAAGGAGGGCCTTGCTCCCGGGATCCCCTGAGGAGAGGTGCGTGCTGGGGAGTCACTGCCCGTCCCCCTCACTGGAAGCATGTGCTGGGATGGGGGGGCGCTGGAGAAAACGAGGGCCGTGGTGGACCTTGGCTCAAGTGGCTGTTGAGAGCCCCGTGGCCTTCTCCTTGCTCAGGGTCTGGGGGGTGTGGCGGTGTGGCCTGTGGTGGGCAGGGCACCCCCGTCTTCGGTATAGATGGAGCTTTGGCCCTTTAGCTGTGCAGGAAGGACCCTCTCCCTCCCCCTGAGCCAGCCGGACCCTCACCGTCCCTCTAGCCCAGCAGGACCCTCGTGCCTGCGGGACTCCCCCACGGTCGCAGGCAAGAGCCTTTCCTGGCCCACCCCCGCCCCCCGCATTCTCTAGTCGGGGTCTCCCCTCCGAGCTCTGACTGGGCCTGTCCTCCCTTGCGTGTCTTCTGAAACCAGTCACGCCCATGAGTGCATTGCCGGTGGGGCAGTGGGTTTGGCCAAAAGCTGTGCCATGGGTCTGTATCCCCACAGTGGCTTGAAAAACGTGGGCAACACGTAGGTAGAGTCGCCCTGCCCCATACGCTTAGGGGCAAAGTGTGGCTTTTCGTGGACCGCTGCCCGGGAGAGGTGGGTCTCCTCCTTCTCCCCCTCTGGATCAGGCTTCTTTCCTCCAGCTCGCCAAAGTGACCATTGTGGACCACCACGCCGTGGCAGAGTCCTTCATGAAGCACCTGGAGAATGAGCAGAGGATGCGTGGGGGCTGCCCAGGGGACTGGGTCTGGCTGGTGCCCCCCATCTCTGGCAGCCTCACGCCCATCTTCCACCAAGAGTTGCTGAACTACCAGCTGACCCCTTGCTTCCGGTACCAGGTAAGCCCTCCCTCCCTCCCTCCCTCCCTCCCTCCCTTCCTT